AGACTGCTCACGCTTAACACAGTTTACCACCAGTCCGCACCTGGCCGCAAGGTAGGCGCCGGGGCTTCAATAGCCTCTGTCCCATGTGAAACTGTCAAGTACCATCGGTTGGGCTCTTCCGCCTGGAGACTTGCGAGCATGTAGTAACCAATGGTATGAATTCCTCGTGCTGATATTACTGTCGTCTCTCTACTCGATGTTCACACCCAATCGCATCAGGACGAAGGCGGGTTGCGCCCTGCGGGATCTGCAACCACTGTCTCTGCGCTGGCAGCAACAACCACCAGCATTGGCATTCGCCGTGCTGCTGCTTTGCCGTCAGGTGGTAATAGAGCCAGCGCTGATGACAATACCCACAAGAGCGATGGAGAACTGGGTGGCAGTGTATGCGTGGCAGTGGCTGCCCTGCAGGATTGCCTAGTAAGCGCCAGGCGTGCTGTCCTGGCAGTGACGAGCGCAGCCCTGCGGGTGAGCACGTTTGTTGCTATGATGCGCGACAAAGAACGTTTGTTGACGTACGTCTGGGTACATCGCATGCGGCGTACGCCTTGGCGTGGTCCAGAAGAATGTGTGGCTGTAACCCCTCAGTAGGACCCATTGGAGGAGCGCTATTTCGTCGTATAGCGAAGATCGCGGTGAAGGCGTGGTATGTATGTTGCATCCTCTGTTGCTTACAACGACTAAGGAGGAACGTACTGTGTGTTTTCGGGTTAAAGGTCATCTCTTGTCTAATCATCGTTCGCATTGTAATAGTCTTGCCTGGCCTGCTTAGGAGTTCCCACACGGGGTCACACATGAAGCTTCCTCTGCGGTGCTTGCCTTGTTTTCGCAACAGAGGGCGCAGTAGATCTTTCCCTCAGAAGTTGTGATCATGGTAGCTTCGCTGACACTCGAAGTCACCCTTCCCTCTATCCGTCAAACTGTGTATCCTTTTATTCGAGTTGATGATCGAAGAGACCCGCCCCGCTTTCAGAATACTGTCACCTTTGTACTCACGCCCTTTGAGAGTTTTTGCGCGCATGCCTAGTAACCATTTTCTCGTATATACGGCACTGAAGATGATCGTTTTTTGGTGTGTCGACCAGTTCTGCTCTTCGCACCGAAAAATTGTAGATCGTAGCTCCCCAGTAGATGGGGCAAGACCGTGCGGCAGATGCTACGGGCGACAGCAATAAATGGAGCGATGAAAATTAAGTAGGCTTTTGGGCTTGCCGTGGTCCCGCTCGGTACGGAAAGGCTTTGCAGAAAATGCGCATTGCACACCAGATCTCAAGTAAACGCCTGGGCTTTGTTTCAAATTGTCTTGTGCTGTGCAGGGCGCAGATGCTCCCCGTGTGTCTAGGCTTCTTGTCAGTCAGCGCGAGGATGGAGTTTCGATGCTGTGGAAAAGCGTGCGTGGGCTGTGGGGCGATCTGATGGTGAGTGTGGAGTGTAGCCGACCAATTTTCTTTTAGTCACAATCATGTCAAAGATGAGGCGCATCTCGAAAGCTTGGTGTGGCTGCTGCCATGATCGTTCAACATGTCCCCCTGATGCCTCCCTCTCTGGGGGTCTATTGTCCGTTGTAGGGTTAGCTCCGCGCCCGTTCGTGCGATGCTGTTCGTCTCGGTGTTTCAATGCAATTTGATGGTGATGCTGCAATTGTTTTTCATTTGCGACACAGGCCCTCAGGAGCGTTGCTTACAACGGCCGTGGCAACCTGTCTGCGGAAGTGGAGCGGCTAGCTCTTGGTGAGTTAGTTCATCATGCAGATACAATTGACCTTACACGGCTGGTTGCAGGTTGGACACACAATACGCCGCGAGGGCGTTATCTTTGGGTGGTGTATCCGTGTGCCTCGAGACCGGTTGACAGTCAGTACTGGTGCCTCTCGCTGAATTTCACGCCCATCGGTTGATGCAATACGTGTGTCTTCTCACAGGAGCCAAAGAGGTGTTGGAGAAGGTGTCTATCCATGCCGCGGACCACCGTAAAGGCGCCCCTGACCCCACTGCGTCGGAATTGGCCAAGCAGGTAACGTTGATGCTTTATTCTATTGAACGTGCAGAGATTGCGTTGCCCTGACACAATCTGGGTTATATGGGCTGACTTCACTCGAGGTTGTGCTGTCGATAATGATTTTCATCTACCACTTGCAAGGTCACTGCGTTGCGGCCAGCTGCAAAGGACCTGCTTCGTTCACCTACCACCGACGTGGGTGTCCAAGACGGAACGTACACGCCGCCGTTTCCTAGAGCAACGTGGCGCGCGGTGGCGCCATGGTTAGCCCAAGACACGAGTCGCAGCTCCGGCGAAGCCGACGACGTCGCGAGTAGCATGCTAGCGCCCTGTGTGTCCAGAGCAGAAGGGATACGAATGTCGCTGGAAGAAGCAATCGAAATGAAGCCGGAACTAGAGGCTGCCAGGGCACAGTCCGCTGACATGGTGAGAGCACCTAAGCACTCGAGTGCTTTGATAAAAAGGAGGCTGACGTTCCCGAAACTGGTGCTTTTTGAACGCGCTCCCGTGACCCTCTGCGTCGCTTTTGCAATGGATGGTTACAAGATGCAACACGACGCGCATACGCATGCTTTCATCCTGCCTGTGGACAAGCTGCCAGCTGCATTTTGACGAGACACTCGCGGCGAGACATGCCTTGCCGGACTCACTCCAAGCCAAATTCTAGGTGTTGTTAGAGTCGTGTTTGCACCGCTGTTCTCACCAATGCTCTCCTTGCGTTACCTCTCATCACAGACTGTCGAGCTGGCGGCGAAGAGCAAGGAATTGATCGCCGCGACATCCAAGAGAGAACAGCTGGAAGTCCTGTTGGAGAAAACTGAAGGGTCCCAGATCACGTCGGCAGATCTTCAGAAACAGGTACTCACGTTCGAACCGGTGTCAGTTGAGGCAGATCTGATGATTGCCGCCTAAACAATACCACCATGCTAAAAATTGAGCCTGCACGTGCACGTGAGGGAGTGTCTAATGCACTATATGCGGCCTTGTCAATGTGAAGAGCGGTGTACCATATTTGGTGTGGATCATGGTAGTCTCGTTCTAGTAGTCAGACATTTGTGCGAAAATATTAGAATTCAGCGGTGGGGCACACGTCAGTGGAATCCGTTTGTGTTTTTGTTCGACAGGTTCTGGTTCTGCAAGAAACAAGCAGAAAGTTCGAGCAGGAGAACAAGTTCATGGCCGAAGCGCTGGAAGATCTTCAGGAGAGTACCAGTCGGCTGGAGGCAGAAAACCGATCTCTGAAAGTCGGTGCGTCCACGACAGGGCGCGCAAGCTTCAACGGTGGGAGCTTGGGCAAGGTGTGAGACTGTTCGCTTGACCGTGTGGGCAGAGTTCCAACTGGTTAGCAACGCTTATCACAACCTCGACCACTCTTTCAGAATATCAAGCGCCGGTGGCCTCATACAGACATCTCGGTGGTCTCCGCACAAATCTTTGCGAGCGAGAATCAACAAGAGTCTTTTTAGTTCCACCTGAAGTTTCTTCTTCAATGTTCATTTCACGCATCACGCAATGGACGAACGAATGGCATGCTCCCCCATCTCTGTCTCTGGTGTTGCGGGTGTTCTTGATCGCTTGGGTCTCACCCACACCTTTCACTCTGCTCTACTTTTCCCCAACGGACTGAAGCTCTCCCAACCAGTAGGGACCCGCAGTACGCCGAGCATATCAAAAGTTCCTGGCAGAGAGGGCCCTCCTACGGACGTGCCGGTGAAGGGGGCTTCAGTGATGGGTAAGTAAAGCTAGTTAACCCCACTGCGCACTATGCTGCCCTGCCCTCTTTGTGTCTTCGCAGTGTTTTTCTCGAACCAAACGGTTCGCTTGTCGGCTTTGTCTTACCGGGGACGTCGCGATGCGTTTCACACGCTTCCTTTCTTCTCTTGCATGTGGTCCATTTGTCACGCTTGCCTACATGTGATAGCGGTTGTTCCAGGCTCTGCAGTGGCTTCACCAGACACGGAGGAGTCGCTCACATCGGTCTTGAATTGGTCGCAGGCAGAGGTATCCAGGTACGCATACGTTTGTTTTGATCAGTGAACAAGTTGGTTTTAGGGATGCCGAATGCGCAGACAACATGTCCTCACCGTACTGTTGAAGCGGCACTCGATTGCCTAGTTTGCGGTGTTCAGGCTGTATAGATGTAGGTGTATGCATGACAACATCGCATCACCCATCACACACTACATATGATAACGGCGGGGGCTCCTAGGGTAATATGCAGCTCTGAACTCCGATGTTGCATCTTACGTCACAGCGTGACATTTGGTATTTGAATGCAACCTACCGTATTGAGAGCACTAAAACTACTGCTTGTCAGTGGTTGATCAAGGCTCGGCGTGATCAAATCTGGCTGCATTCAAGCAGGTGGCGTGGAAGGGTATTTACGTCTGTCCTCGCGGGTCTCAAGCCCCTGCCTCACCTGTCTCCTGCACACGGGGGACGCCCGCAATCTTCGCCCCTACACGTGAGAAAGCTATGAATCGATTGGTAGGAAGTTTGCTGGTTGTGCATTTCTTCGTCTGTTCGCCCTACATACTAGAGTTGGAGGTGGAATAGTTTTTTGTGGTGGTTGCACAAAAGTACCTGCAGTAGGCTCGTGCGTCTGTTCATTGGCTGGTTCGTGTGATTTTCTCGTCGTACAGAAGAACGGGGGGCGGTCCATCATCACCAGCTAGAGAGGGGGGTGGTATCCATCATCATTCGCTAGAGGGGGGGGTGGTGTCCATCATCAGCTAGCGAGGGGGGTGCTATCCATCGTCAGCCGTGAGGGGGGGGTGCTATCATCAGAGGGGGGAGGGGGTGCTATCCATCGTCATCAGCTAGAGAAGAAAAAAAAAATACGTTGAAAAATTCCCCGGCTTGTGCTGCTGCTGCTGCTGATTGTTTGAACAGGACGCTTCCGCCACCGCTTTAGATAACAGCAACAGCAGCAGCAGCAGAGGCGACACACCCTCTCGCCCACAATGAGTGTAGAGAGGTGCACAGCACAGCAGTGGTACTACATCGTCTAGGAACGAGCGTGATGTGTTACTGGTCCCGTGCTGTGATGTATGTGTGCCTCTCTCCAGAGCAGAGTCAGAGGCCGCTCCCTCCCGCCGCGTCGCAACACAATAACAACAACCAACCGATGGACCCACAGAGACCCAATCAATATCTCTCCTCTCGCTTCCTCCGCCGAAAGCTAGCAGCAGCAGTAGTATAGGGCACACCCTGCTCCCGTCCCGCTCTCGCTGTGTGGTGTGTGCAACACACGCTGGTTGGTGGGACTCCCTCTCTCTCCAGAGAAAAAAAGGCGAAAAAAAGGCCGGCAGCGTTGAACAACAACAACAAACAACGGAGACAACAGCAACAACATCATCAGCGATGAACGAACCCCAGACCAACCAAACGTTCCCCGCTTCCTCCGCCGTCGCCAACAGCAGTATGTGTGTGTGTCCCGCCCCCCTTGTCCATGTTCCCTGTCTCTGTGTAGTGCGTGTCTTGCCAGTAGCAGCAGCAATGTGTGCAGCACGGCAGTGCGTCGTGGTTTCTTGCGTGCGTGTAGTTTGTTGCCCAGAGAAAAAAAACAATGACGACGCCTCCCGGGGATGCGTCCATGTGACATATATATTTGCACAAACGGTGTGCTATCTCGAGACACCGACCACGGATTGCAAAGGTAGCGGTTGGGACAGCTCGGGCAAAATGTTACTTGTTGTGCGCAAGTTTTAGTTTGCAATTTGGTGCCGAGATGGTGAAATGGGCTCGAGTCTGCTGGGTTATTTAGGGCGCGCAGACAGACAGACACCAGCCAGACAGACATCAGACAGCCATCGCGTCTTTTTCACGCCCGTGGGCATGAAAATTATTCTTTTTCTCGTGCGCACATACTCCACACACGATCCCTCTACACAGTTTTTTTTTGCAAAACAAAAAGCGTACCCCTATACGGGCCACTCTTTTCGCAAAAAAAAAACTATTATCAACTTCCCTGAGTTGAGTCGTGGGTAAATATGCCACAGGGGTTGTAGAAATTGCTTCAATGTGGCGAATGGGCAGCGCTGATTCTCAGGTACGTGTGTTTGTATCACTTCTACATTTCTACACAGGATGGGACCATGACCGGCCAGAAATCAGCACCATCCAGCCGCGCGGAGGATTCTATCAGAGAGCTGCTCAACCTCTCCAAGAAACTCGCAGCTGTTCGTGAACCACCTCGTGTGGTCGGGGTCAAAGGTGCAGCAAGGATCGAGGTGCCGTCTGGCGGTGGCGGGGTTGCCCATGTCGCACGTGAGGGTGTTCCCAAGGCTGACAGCGGGCAAGGTACCTCCTCGTCGGCGAGTGTAACATGGCAAGAGCAGCAAGCGCTACACGCTCGGCTGGAAAAGGCGTGGATAGAAGGCCACGGGCGGGCAGCGAAAGCTGTGACATCTCTGCTTGGCTTTGGCCCTGGAGGTGAGTGCGCATCGATGATCGCTGTGTAGCGAATCCAATGTGATCAACGCAAGTACATGGCACCCGATAGCTGTTTTGTTCGCGCGTCAGTACCATGTACCAGCTCCAAAACGTTTGACATGGTGTCGCATGTGAGCCGGTGCATGCTGTTGTCGTGTGCTTGTATCGTTACTACCCGCACGTGCAGGTTCGAGCGCATTTGCAGGAGAGGCTAAGTTGGCGGCCAACCAAGGGGCTGCCGCCGGCGTACGTGTTGCTCGGCTACGGTTACCTTCGGGCACACATTTCGCTTCTCACAAGGCCAAGCAAGCAGTAGTGCCTGTGACGCTTGGCCGAGTCCGTCTGGCCAGAGTACAGCAAGCCCTGACGGTCTGAAGGACTTCAAAACTTAACGCCCCGCAGAAAAAGCTGTATCATGCGAAGCAACATTTATTTAGGATCCAAATAGATGAAGGCAATTTCCGGCAGCAGCGGCGGCAGCACGGTCCCTTGCATTTGCCGGGAAGACGTGCCGCCTTTCATTTCGAAATGACCCCGTCAAGAAAAAAGCCTCTCGTTCCAGTCTAGGGAGCATCTGGGGGCTACTTTGTATACGTTCCAAATTTACAGTACGGGATTTTACGTGCAACTCTTTCATCGCTTTGAGCGTCCTCCCTTGAACTGCTTTTGGATGCGTTCAAACTCCGCGTCATCAAGATCGAGAGGGGACCCCTTCTTGGTGCGTTTGGTTCCCTTCCGGCCCTCTGTTCGTGAGTTGCCACCCGTTGTCCCACCGCCGTACCGTGCTTCAAGCGAGGAAACCTTTCGACGGGAGCAAAAAAGTACGCCGCACGTGGTGCACGACAATTTTAACTCAACCTGCCCAGATGCGTTTGTCCACCTTCCCCGAGAAACGTAACGCGCGCGACTGCTCGGTATGCAACATATCAAAATATGACACCAACAGTCTACGGAAGCAGCCCGTGCCCGATAATTGAATGCAACCTGTCCAGGAATATGTAGGATCGGCAATATGTAGGAGTATCGCAGGAGCACTTCGTCAGTCTAATGTTATGGCATGCTTGCAATGGACAACAGGGATGCGAACTACCACGGCGTAGTGTCTGCTTATGACATATCGTTGACCTAGAATGCAGGCCAGCCTTTGCCGTGTCTCACCAAGTTGTTAAACTCCTTTCCACGGTGAGTCGACAACGATGCAGCCGCCTTGTTCGTGTTGCGCCCTTTTATCATTGCCATAAGCTCCTCGGCCTCTGCAGCCTCCTATTGATTCGTCAAATAGGAGAGGCGCAAACATGCGGCACATGCGCCAGCGGCAGAAATCATCGCATTCGTTCTTGTAGCGTTCGTGTAGCTGGGTGGTTCAGTTGATAACCCGACAACCTTCGGTGATATGGATGTGAAGTCGAATCTCGGTGCAGTCACGCAAACTGGATTTTGTTCTCACAATATGCCCAATAATGTGGAAAGTGATAACTTCGTGCATCACAATAACCCACTTCATGGCCGACGAGGGAAAGGACGGCTGAATCCTTCTCTTGCTACATATCTTTGTAAGCACCGAAGAAAGAAGACGGAGAAAAAAAATCTTGTGTGGCCTTCCTCCTGCATGACCCCGGCTGGTGGGTCCAGGAATTGTACCGAAAGGTGTGTAAGACCACGTCCGGAATAAATGGGGTAGACAAAAACAAATCGGCAAGTGAAGCTACACTAAACACTCAAAAAACAATTTGACGGGCGTGTGACACTTTGGTTTTGTGAGTTTACCTTGTCGATCTTGGCCTGGCGTTTCTTTGCGGATTCCTTAGATCCCACACTGGCTTTTGCTCCTTTCCGATATGCTGCGAATGCAGGAACCTCTTTGGATTCGATCGCTGCGTCGATCAAAGCTCTAAACCTATCCTCATCCGTTGCTGATGCGAGCATTGTCGAATCCATAACCGCGGCCATCTTCCCCTTGTGCTTCTTGTACGCTCCCAGTACATCCCGCTTCTCCTCGTCGGAGCCCTGCAAAGAAAATTCATGCAGTGCAATACACCGCCGGACGACAAGGCGTTCAAAAATCACATGTATATGTTCCCACGGGTGAAAATTTTAAGACTTCGGGGGTGAAAGCGAAAAAAAACGGAAAAGCTCTCGTGAGTACCAAACTTCGACGTTAGCACCGTCGACGAGGGAAAGGGACGGCTGGACCCTCCTCGCGACAAAACAAGAAACATATCATTACGCACCGCAGGAGAAAGGTGGGACAGGAAGAGAAAAAGAGCAAAGAATAAAAAAGTCCCGGTGTTTACAAGCTGGTTCACGGAAATGAACCCAAATTTGTTCAACCACCGCTGCTAGACGAAATATGTACACAAAACTGGCATATCTTGTATCAAGGTAACCGCCGTGAGCAAGGGAACAAATCATGGTGGCCGGAATTTCAATCAAAGGCGTGGCCACAGTGTAAAGGACATAAATGTGTCTCGGGCCAATCAGAAGCCTGTGCAGCATGGCATAATACTAATAATGCATGCAAGCCCGCGCACCTCCCACCTCTTTCTAACGCAGTGTTGCAAAAAACGAAATTCCCATACTCCAGGGGACTTAAAAAAAAGAAAAAAGAAAAGGGTCACCGTGGAAGCGAGTTATGCCCAAATTTGTGTTTCACCGGCCGAGATTTGGCGTCGTAACTTGTAACTGGGATTATACGCAGAGTATCGTGTTTGTTTGTCTCGTAAATATCGAAGGAAAAGTTGAGTCATCCTCAGATTTTGATAGCATGGTGCAACGAAATTGCGCAAACCGTAAAAAAAACATGAGACAATGTTTGCGCTGCTGAGCAGCGAATTGGGGTCCCCGGTGTGAAACCCCCGAAAACCGGTTGCAAGTGTATGAGCATTTTTTTCTTTTTCGCTGTGCGAGAATTCCATTATCCTTTCCAGAAGTTTTGTGGTACCACTTGTAAAACTGGCGCAGCACGGGGCTTTGCAGTGAAGAAGGGGCCCCGCGGACCTGATTCTTTACTGATATCAAGTAGTTTGGGGGAAAATCAGGATGGCGAGTACTTAATGACACAAAAGCTGAAAACTTCACGCCGTTTTCAGGAGTTAGACTTTGAAATTTTGCACACATGTACACTGGGTTTGTGCGAAACGCTGTGCGGTCAGGCCTTTTTTATTTTCTTCCATGGTCGCCGGTTATTCGGGGTCCCAGGAGCAGCACATGACCCCGAAAACTCGAGGACCTACGGATACCCGGCGACAGCGGGAAAAAATAAAAAAGGCCCCGCCACACCGCGTTTCGTACCAACCCAATGGACATATATGTGTGCAAAGTTTCAAAGTCTAACTCCTAAAAACGGCGTGAAGTTTTCATGTTGAATGTTCTTGTATCCATTTCCCTGAACCAGCTTGTACCCCCTCCTGTGTGACGCTGGATGGGTGCAGTTGTACGAACAAATACACTGAAAAGCATACATGTACTCCACATACATGAGTGAAGATTGCAGTTGTACACGTCTCACCACGACAATGGGGGGAAGGTCGCCAGTTGCCAAAAAAAAGTAGGACGAAAACACACACGCACATATATGTACTTCTGTTGTGCGGGTTGTATACATACTTTGGTATCCGGTCGCCCGGGTGGTCTATGTGGTATTCCCGAGACCTGCTAGAGGTCAGCTTGGGGGGTCGAATCCCGGCGTAAGCGAGTTCTTGCAAAGTGAGTTGTTTTCTCGCTTCCGCTCCTGGCCGAGTGGATAGCGCTAGTCCGTGTGTACACCGAGAGAAGAGAGTGCCGAACTCTTCTCGCATCAAAAATCGAAGGCAAAGTACCGCAGGAGGGGAGGGTAGAGAGGGGCTCTTCTGTGTGACCACGGATTGGAGTAAACGGCACCAGTGCTGTGAGCGCTGATTTGAAGTGAAGACAAAAACAAAACAAAACATGTGGCTGACTGAATCAGCACCGATTTCACTGCGTGTCATGCAGACCGGCAATTACGTCGCAACTTCGCCAAAAGATATGCTCGGGCGCACATTTCCTCCACAGCATGTGACGTGAAACACTGCTCAACTACTGCCGTATTAACTCTGTTATCACACTGATGAAGTTACTGTTAGTACATCTCTGCAGGTTCCCACCTGGTATTTGTTGCCGAATGACTCGATATCGGCGACGGTGATCTTCGGAAACAAGGTACGCCAGTATTGCGACCTTTTATTACCAAGGCCGACGCGTGGTTCGCGAGGAAGGAGAAATTACGGGGATGGGGGAATATGGGGATGAGCATTAGCTTGACGCATGGCACGCACACACCTGCGGACTAATAACTGTATTCGTGAGTTTTGGTTCGCTATGAGACTAAAAATGCAGTCTAGCCGGTTGGTGCGGGCGATGCTATTTAGTTAATCTTGCAAACAATATGTAGCATTTCGTGATTGGTTTCGACATGGGCGGAAGTGCCAGTTGAAAACAAGTGGTACAACGTACCAAATGTATGTATGTAGTCGAGCCAATATTTCTGGCGTATAGTGTACAGAATAAATGGGATCTTGTTTTACTTCTGTTATTTTCTTACATAGTACACCGCCGCCCATCACCGCTCTGGTGATTTTTGTAAATTCTATACTGACTGTATGATTTACAAGTGGTGTTCAGTCACCCCGCGTATCCAGAGAGACCCGACTACTGCTGCTCCCTTACACCATGCTGCAACAGATTTATGAACTGGTACAGCAGGTACAATTTAGGGACGTGTCCGACTATCGCATACTCTGCCATCGCCCGTCACCAGTAGACCCTTCGCATTTCCCTCACCACAACTCTTCGCCTTCTGCTTTGTCGTCCTGCCCTTCCTCTGCGATATCTCCTGTTTCGTCGTAGAGGCTTCGTCGTTCAGGGTCGGACAAGACGGAATGGACCAACGACAGCGCTTGGAAACGGCCTTTCGCGGCGTCATCTCCGGGACACTTGTCTGGGTGCTGCGCAAGACGGGGAGATACAAAAACACATTATTCCTGCCCAAATAATAACCAAGCGACCTGGTAAATCAGCAAGAGTACACACCACGCGTTTCTGTGTAACGTAGCAGTAGGGTGGCCAGGTGGGACTACAACAATGGACTGGTATTTACTGCTGTGGCGTCATAAAGTTTGATTTGAGAACTTACACATTTGAGGGCGAGCTTGAAATACGCCTTCTTGATAACCCCTGCAGTCGCTGTAGGGGGTATGTCCAGGATGCCGTACAAAGATTTTCCTTTGCCGAATTCAGCTGCGATAGTGTCCATATCTTTGAGCACGAACCTGCGTAGTCTGTGCCAACGGAGAGACAGAGGTACGGGGCGAGCAAAAGCCGCGAGATGCAGGAAGTGCCACGACAAGAGGGGGTGCCGCTCCTGAAAAACATTTGAATTTTCGACCAGTAACCAGAAACGGGTATACCCGGGTGTTTTATCACCACTTTAGGGTACAGTTAGAAATCAACACGCTTGCATCCCCAGGCTGTCAGCTGATTGGCCGAAAAACCATTGTACCCATTTCTGAAACCTCCATCAGGTACAACTTCCGCTGGAATTGGGACCCTCCGGTGTGACCGATATTGGTTACTGGTGTACCCGGAAGAGGTCAATTTAGTACCCAGAAATCAAATGGTCATATAATCCCGGCGCCCAACGCTCTAGCATAAAACCTGCAGAAAAAAATGTGTGCCGCACGTACTGCTGTTGTTGTTGTTGATGTTGTTGTTGTCTTCACATTAAAAACCATCCCGGTCTCTCTATNACCTCCATCAGGTACAACTTCCGCTGGAATTGGGACCCTCCGGTGTGACCGATATTGGTTACTGGTGTACCCGGAAGAGGTCAATTTAGTACCCAGAAATCAAATGGTCATATAATCCCGGCGCCCAACGCTCTAGCATAAAACCTGCAGAAAAAAATGTGTGCCGCACGTACTGCTGTTGTTGTTGTTGATGTTGTTGTTGTCTTCACATTAAAAACCATCCCGGTCTCTCTATCCAGTACCTCCTTCTGTCTCAATCTCTCCGTACTAATCCAGGACTTGACTCGGTCAATTTCCGTGATCACAGGCTAACGTACCTAGAAAAGGTATACCTGTATGTACCACAAATACATAATCACAACCCGCTCGCTAGTTCATCGTTCATGGGCACCGCCTCCATAGGACACCGGCCCTTCTCAACAGAGGGTCGGACTCGCTTGACACGCGAGTCCTTCGGTGTGGTACTGATCAGTAAAAGCATAGAGAGAGAGAGAGGCACAGAGAGAGAGAAAAAAAAACAGGCACGACGACCTGCCTCGTGCATCATGCTTCCGAGGCACAGGACACACAGGACACAGACAGCAGTTTATTGGTTTCGCCGCGATCTACGGCGGATGCTGTCGGAGATTTTTTTTTTTTGGAGATTGGTGTCGTCTTGATTTCCAAGTGTACGCTGAAATGGTGATAATCCATCCGGGTATACCCGTTTTTGGTTACTCTTCAATTTACGTGTTGATTTCCAAGTATGTCCTGAAATGGTGATAATCAATCCGGGTATACCCGTTTCTGGTTACTCTTCAATTTTCGACCCTGTCCCCTGCCCCACGCGAAGTCAGGTCATTGCGATTGGTTCAATATGTTAAATGCTGACAGTCTCAGTTCGACATGTCATAATGTGATCTGTGCATCTATTCCCGTCCCGCTTCGCACTTCGCGGCTGTCCACGTGATGGCATCCGATGGTGGAGTGGCTTCATCAGATGAACAAAACGCGGTGTACATGAGGTTAGCCCTGAAGGAGGTTAGTTCTTCGTAATACTAAGTACTTCGACGTATGAATATGTACACAGCAGCGACCACAGGAATCGACCGCGTGAAGTGTTGGACTAACGAACGGACAGAAGCAGGTGCTGGGTGGAGAGAGCGGAACGGTTTATAATGTGAAGACAACAACAAGAACAACATGCTGTCGGTTGCCTCAGCTTGTTTTCCTTAGACCGACGCTTAATAATGTTTTCAGGCTTTTTGAACAGGACGACAACATTCAAATAACAACGATGTAGAACCGCTACTATTAATTGCAGAACTTCAATAAATCACTACCTGATATAGCTGGGTTGCACCGGTGACAAGCGTGTTCAGCAATAGGCAGTTCCGCTGTTATTCAGCGTGTAGCTATGCGCAGACTTTTATATGAAGTATACAGTACTGCTTGTATATGCCTTCCTAAAAAACCAAACAAGAACTACCATGAAAGTGCACTCCCTGATACACACTACCTGCACCGTGCGTTTTTCTCGCTGCTTTCTTCCGTAGTATCAGAGTTCAGATTGAGTTGGGGGCTCACTGCTGTGTGTTTTAGAGGATTTGAGTTTTCAATTTTTCCAAGGTTAGGTTCCCGAAGGCACGGGTTCATTTGGTAGCGTACGGGTAATTCACGGAAAGTCGTATCGAGCTTGTCAAAGAATCTGGCAAGGGTATGTCTGGCTAGGTACGCGACGTTGCACCCGTGCCCATACCCGACTCCGGGTATTTCACCAAGGCCGTACCAGGTAAGGTACAGGGTATTCTGCTGCAGGCGTACCGAATGTGGCAGTGCCCAAATCCTGCTACCCCTCACCGGATTTCGAGCCAACAGACTTAGGGAACGATTACTCACGCTTTTCCCGGCACCCTCCACCAAGACGATGTCTTCTCTCTCTTGTTGTGTCGAATGTAGCAGCATCACGTTCGTCTGCTCGAGCACCATACCATTACAGCTCGTTGTTTACAGCATTTAATGCACCAGCGTATGCACGGTGATATTTTGTATATTGGCACTCGCGCCTTGCATGAAAGTTCCTTGAAATGCCGCCAGAGAATTTTTCCCGCGCTGCATGCAAGTTTGAAAAGTCCAGCAGTAAGTGTCGCTGGCCGACATGTATCAACAAGACTGACATTGCCCGCACGATGCCGGGTACTTGACCAAGGCCGGGCCAGGCATCTGGTGCCCGTGCATTCTACCACAGGTGTACCGACCTTGCCAACGAGTGTAAAAAGCACGTGATTTCGTATCAAGCGTACCCGAGAATTTGGTAAGGTGCGGGACGTTGTACCCGTCCGTACCCGACCCAGGGTGTTAGAACAAAGCCATACCCGGTACCAGGGTGTTGTACCGCGAGCGCACCGAACTTGACAAAGAGGTTGGGAAGGTATGGAATGATACCTGGCTTACCAAAGAGTTTGGAACCGTCCGCGAAATCGTAGCAAGCGTACCAAAGAGGTTGGTTTGGTAGTACCCTGGACAGCTGTTGGATGATGTCAATGGTTGAAACAGAACGCCAGTGGCTGAGACAGAAGTCTGGAAATGGCAACGCGAATTGACGAGAACATAGAGCGAACCATAATCATGTCGTCAAAAGGATCAACAACATCAATACAAAGTGCATCAGCGATCGACCGTGATTCACGTCACAATCCTCCGCAAGTTAGCATACGGGAAGGGAGGAAAAAGAGACAGAGAGAAGGTTGGGGGGGGATGCACGGAGCCAGAGAAAGAGAAACGTACAGAGGCAGTGAACGAGGCAGCTTGCCGGGCAGGAACGGCGAACATATGCTGTCCATACGTATGGGAGTTTTTTTGCTCGCCGCAAGCCTCCTGTCACGACGCGTCACGATGACGTGTTGTTGTTTCTGCTACGGACGTTTTTCAGCTGCTGTTGCACCGCTTCTGCTCCTACTGCTCTCCTTCCGTACCCTCGCGCACATCGCTTGAACACGGAGAAGCAGCTTGCAGAGACAGCAACCTTGGTTGCTGTGCATGGCACTATGCGAGACAGCGATGCGTGAATATGTTTGCTCGCTGCAAGCCTCCTGTCGCATGCGGCGATGACGCGTTGTTTTTTTCTCCTGCTTTTGTTTTGGTACTACTCACTTCGCATGCTATACGTGCACATCGCTTGACGTGTGTACGTTGCAAACTCCCAATAGCCCCTCCGGTTGTTTTTTTTACCAAGTTCGGTGACACCACTTTGGCAAACAAAGCGAGTTCACCTTCGCGTGGATAACATGTTTTTGGGCCACAAATAGCGCGGATCTCTACATTCGCTTACAGATGGTTTTCTCTGGGTCGTTCCAGCAGCTAGATTCGTCCAACAACATGCCCCTGCCGTTCGAATGCTGGCTAGCACTGCTGTCAGTGCTGCTGTCTGAACTCTCCTGGACTCTCCTGTTCATAAACCCTTAGAATATTTCTTCTGGGTTGCGACAGTTGCTTATTTCGGCTGCTGATGCCTTTAACACATCGCACAACGCCGGTTGGTCAATATTGTGGAGTTTGGTTTACGACGAGAAAAGCTAACACCAGAAGCAATCTGATTTCGAAACCTTCAACAAAATACGCTCTTCACTCAAGCTCTCTCTCTCCTAAAGGTATGTATGCTTGTACGAGTGTGCGGCCGGAGACTGACCCCGAGAGAGAGTATTCCTCACGTTTCCCTGTGCCGGGAGGCACTGCGAATTCCACGTTGGTGAGACATATAAATTTTGACCGATTCGCGGTATCCAGAGCGTTTTGCTTTTGACGGCAAGGAAAGAATCGTCCCCACAGGCTTCCCATTGATGATACTACGCTTTAACCTGTTTTTCTTCATCAGGCGGAGATGGCTCTGAGCAAAGGAGAAGTTCCGGTGGGCTGCGTCGTTGTTCATAAGCCTACCGCGCGGATTATCAGCTGTGGCCACAACGAGACTAGCGAAGCCTTTAACGTGAGGATCGTCCCACATACTGTCGGTTGTGTGCTTTCACCGCGGGTAGGCCACCCAATGACATCCTATCCTTTACATGTGCCTGATTGTTTTTGCATGGTGGCCCGCTACGTTTTCCACGGCAAGAACAATACTCGGACGTCATGGCATTCGTGAAACTCTGATACCCACCATTCCTGTTTCTGTTGCGTGATAAATTCCCTGAAACGCCTCTTCTTATCACATCGTATCCTGCAGCCACATGCTGTCATATCGCCCATGCACCCCCCCGTACCGTTTGTCCTAACTGAGACTAGCCCAGTCGCCAACGACCACGCTGGATGATCAGAATCCTCGTTCCGTTCGTCTCGTTGTGTAGTTCCTTGTAGGGCGCAAAGGGAGCTCTGTCAACTGTCTAGGCCCACGAGGCTTGACGACCAGCGACAGGCTGGTGGCCTTTCGTTGGGCACAAAAAGGATCTCCCCGATTGAGTGTGCAATTGCCGGCAGAGCTAGCAGGCGTACAGCCGTTGGTAACCTTTACCTCCCACCGCCTATTTTCCATTCCCTTTCAAACCACCTGGTAGAGTGAGCGCCTTCCGAAGGGCCCTAGCTGCTATTTTTTCATGTCGGTACTCCTTTGCCCGCCCACCCAAAGTACGTTGGGCTAACGTTCCTGAGAGATGCGTACACACACCAAGACGAGATTATCACGCACCTGACAAGCACGTACGGCGCGGTGGCTGCTGATATTCTTTGTGTATGTACGAGGTAGTGGGGGTAGGTATGGATGGACGTGTGCGTACCAGTGTTTACGAGCAAGTGCACTGATGTGTGTCAATGCTAGATGAACTGAAAAAAGGTTTTGTGGGAATTAAACCGCAGTGTTGCGAGTTAATCTATGCTCTTGGTTGCGTTTGGGATATGTCTCTCTCGGCAGGTACGCAATGCGCCTTCCTCTCTGCATGTCGGGTTCGGGTATCACGTCAATCGTAGACTAGACCGAAGTTGAGAAATCCGAATGATGGCTCAAATGATCAATCAGTCAGTGCTCGAAATCTGACAGAACCGTTTTGATGTCTTCCCAACAGGCTACCCGACATGCTGAACTTGTGGCCATCGACGGCATTCTACGAGCACAGACCGATCTCTGCCTTTTAAGTGAATGTGACCTGTGAGTATGGTCTTTAAGAGTAGAACAGTTTTCCTTGTATGACTGCAGCTTAAGCACGAGTTCATCATCACAGTGTTATTGCCGATGCCACGACGCTAGATGTCCACTTAGCGTCTAGAATCAAAGGTCGAGTATGTGAGGCGGTTTTGCTAGCAGCGACTATTGGAAATATCCCTTTTTCGTCGTGGAATCCGGTGCAGAAGTCATGTGGTCACAGTAGCGGTAACTCGTATGGTCACAGTAGCGGTTTGACAGACGAAGTCTGTGGCCCCACCAGGGCAGCCTAGTAGGATGTGGCTGTTGAGCACACATTCATGCTCAGGATGTGTCTTTGCACCCGCACAACCATGTTTGCCGATCGTGTTCATGAGCAACGCCGTTCCGCAGCGGGAGAAAAGGTTCTATCTGACCTGTCAGCACACTGACACTGTGCTTTTCTCAGTGTAAGGTGGTAGCGCACAATGACTTTCGGGTTCCCAAGGGCGCCAAAAGTAGGTCATATACTGATATACAGCATACTCATACAGGCTAGCTCCCCGTGTTGGTCCCCGCGTGGTTGTCTCTCTCGGTTCGTCTGCTAAGGTTTGTTACATGTGAACCGTGCATCATGTGTGCGGCAGCACTGCGCGATGTGAAGATCAAGACAGTCGTGTTCGGTTGCAGCAATGACCGATTTGGAGGCTGTGGATCTGTGCTCAGTGTTCATGACGGCAGGTAACGACCATGCATCTTCTGATTTGGTTCACCGGTATTGCTGAGCAATTCCACTTGGATCATAATGTCTGTTTTGTGAAAAACAGTTTCAAAGATAGCTGGACGACGGGTCTCTAATCAACCGAAGAGTTTGATGGTTGAGGACCTCACATCGAGGTTGTGCGTGCTGCCGTAGGTGAATCACGCTGAGGGGTTGTGCCTGACTATGGGCGGTTGTAAGGGACAGTCGGCATTGGTACATTCAATCTGATCCTGTTTGGCCAAGTGACGCTGACTACCTGACGTCCTGCTTGCTTTGAAACTTTTGAAGTCTGCCGATGTCAGGTCACACGTACCCGTGCCATTCAGGACTTCTGGCGGACGAAGCAATTGCACTCTTCAAGCAATTCTATTCTAGGCAGAACGTTAAAGGTAAGAAGCCCTTGTTCTTCATACAGCACAACCAAGACTATTTTGGTTCATCAACTCACGCTTATCAAGTGGTACGAAGTTTAGATATGCTGGCATGTTTTTTGAATATTGCAAGCTGCAAGGGACAGCCAAGGGACATGTTGCGGTTGCGCCGGTGTGGTGTGGTCACACCTCGGAAAACGGTTATCAGTCGTCTTGAATGGACCCAACGCTTGTGCGGACACCTCGATTAACCGTCGCAAACGTGCAAAGTGGCTGGCACATAGGACATTCTTCGCAGGACAGAGGTTGTTGGAACATTGGAAAATAAGCGGTGAAGCGCTCAGTTCTCACCCGTGCGTGATGTTTTTGGCGTCATCACGATCTTGCCACTATCCCATGTACATCTGTGGCTGCAAACTTCCTGATTAACATGGCAGCCAGACTCCGTGAACCTGATATGATCTTCATGGCATCAACACAAGGCAACCCACTCAAGAGATGTTGTACAAAGCCCCCCGAAAGGCGATGGTGTCCCCATCACCCTTTCATGTTGCCATCGTTCATTTTCGTTGCTCACAGCTTTTCCCTATCCTCCGTTGCCTCTGTACAGTGTAGGACCGCTCCCACCCAGCGTCACGAGAAATTCCTCGAGGTGCATTACTTCATTTAGTACAGAAACGGTTTGTAGTGTGGTATCCATGAACCAGCGCTCTTTGAAGCGTGTACTGTGAAGCTCACCGACAATCATACTCCTCCCAACCCTCAGCACTCGGTTGTGTAGTGGAACGCAGGGAAGATCTCCAGAGTTGAAGAAAGTCGAGTACAACTATACAAAAGTTCACAGCACGAGCAACCCTTGGAAGGCAGCTAACGGCCTTGATGCCACTGGTGTGATAAAAACACGACGCTTGTCCCGTTTTTACTATTGTCTAGAAAATGAAGTGAGGACGTAGACACATGAGTCAAGAACGAGATGGAAAACAGGGAAAACGTTAGGAATCTGTGAAGTTGCGAAGAAACGTGGACCTACGAACTAAAGTGGCCACGACATCCCTTGTCAGAATATAAGATACGCAATACTTGTTGGTGCGGCACGTTATGAGCGCCTAAATGTTGACGGTAGCCCGTCTCGCAAGGGAAACGTAAATAATGAGTTCACTCACCCCCTTTTCTTGACGTTTTCCAGCACCAGAGCCCAAAAGAAGAAAGACCGGACAACACGAGCAACCACCTGCGGAGACGAGATGACGCAGGTTTCATCAGGAAAAGCCAGCTTGAGATAACCTTGAATGAATAGAGTTGGGTTTTAAGGTATCAGGCGCCGGCAGAGCTGAAAGCTGGCATTCACTTGGGTGGGGTTGGATTGAATAATATTCAGAGGTCCACCCAACCTGTACTTTTTGCTGCGACCAGTTTTATGTTTCTGATTTTGACCAGCGCGCCACGAAACTTCCTGCATATAGCCTACTTCCCAACTTCATACTTGGTCACTATAGTACGAATTAGGAACTGTATTTTGTACGGTTTGGAATTGACGATTACGGAGAACGTTTAGGTCGGGTTTAGGTACCTCGTGGCGTTAAGCAGGTTTTGCCCAATGCAAATGCAGCACACGAGTTTTCGCCGAAAACGGGTCAGGGGATGCTGTCCTTGCGATAGGGGCATGGTACAGGGCACGGGTACGCACCAGTCGATCCTTCGTTTTCGGGCGAAGAGATAATAGAGTGTGTGCGCTACCAGTGAGCACGTTGTTCTATCGTCGTATCAGTGGTATCTGTTGAAAGAGGCGCCGTGAATTATTCAGGCTGAAAAAGGCGTGGATGCGGGGACTGATTGGTGGGTCGCAGACCCGAACGAAAGAACAACAGTTGCTGGTCCACGTACGTCAAGAAATATTCCCTCCTCATTACAAAGCAGTATAAGAGTCCCTCCGTTGATATAATATCGGTGGGTCGGTATTTTTCTCGCTTTCCGGCGTTAGCCGGGGTGGGTGGGTGTGAAAGAAATAGGGCTGGCTCGTTGGACTCGCCTCCTCCGCTCTCTGTTGTCAAGCAAGGCGGTCAGGTCAAGGATGACCACAAACTTACAGCAAACGTGAACAACATGATAAGACGAACTAACTGCGCTAATTTTTTCATTACGAAATGAAAGTAGTACATCTTTTCGCCGAGAGGGAAGCAAACGGCAAACCGCTGATGTTCTGTTGCTTGCTGCTGCTGATGACGATGCTACGAAAGATCGCAGTTTGTATTGCTGCCGCCGTGCTGCTGTTGTTGTCGCGGGCCGCTCGGTATTGCCTTCATTTTCGGTGTTTGGTCGTAAGATAATAAGACGCACGGCGCAGAGTTATTTTTGAGTATGCCGTCATGGAAAACGGTCGACCTCACTTTGCAATAAGAAATGGAGAGATGCGTAATGAAAATACCGACACGGTAGAGATGGTTGCTGTGCCTCCTCGCCTCCTCTGTACTACCTTTGTGCCGCGCGCGCGCCCGAGATGTTTATCTTGAGACATGGAAGAGGCTTGCGCATTGTCAGTCGGCAGGGGACGCGCTTTCCCATAAGCATGTTGTACACAAGGGGCCTTCCAAGTGGAAAACCGTGGAACACCCCAGCCCCTCCCCCCCCTTCCCCCGGGCCAAGATTGACACGCAGGATCGCCACTCTAGGTGGCTCACTTTCAGCAGTCTTTTGTATAGGAATTAGTTTGTCCATAGTAAAACCAGCATTATCTTCATTGTATAAGCTTTCTTACCGCATTCTAAAACCCATATAAATTCTATTCATAGTGTAGGCTTTGGCATGGTGACTATATCCTCCCCCCATCGTGACCAAGATTGAAGCGTAAGCAGGGGGTGTTCCACGATTTCCACTAGCGCTGTGTGGGATCCCGTGCGCACACGAGTGCACGCGCTGAAAAAGCGCGCGAAAAAATGGTGGAAACCCCAGGGATTTGGTCAAAATGTCCCCTCCGACAACATATAAGGCCTCCCCCCCCCCCCCCCCCCCC